GCCGCCACCGCCGCCTCCGTTGCCGCCGCTACCGCCGCCGCCTCCGCTGCCGCCGCCGCCGCCGATGGAGGTGACTGTGGCCGTTGCCGCCGCCGCCGCTATGGGCTCCGGCCGGAACAGAGTTGGCCCTGAGGAAGCCGGCGGCCCGATGGACGGAGCCGGAGACGAGGTCGCCGAGGAGGTGGAGGTGGTGGTGCCGGAGGAGGAAGCAGACGTGGAGATCGGGGGTTGAGGGGGGACCAGCTGGGTCGGAGGGATCAAAGCCGCCGGCACTGCCATGGTCACATATAAGGGGAAACAGAAGGAGAAGCGAGGGGAAAAGTTGCCACACACCCCGGGGAGGGGAAGGGTAAAAAAGGGGAGAAGGAGCTAGGGGGCAACAACAACAACAACTCTAGGAGAAAACGAGGAGGAGAAAGGGGAGAGAAGGGGGGAAAAGGCGGTGAGGGTAAGAAAGAGCGAGCGCAGGAGGGGCGAGCGCGAGAGGCGCTCTGGAGAGAAACGCACAAAAGTGTCCCGCAAGTCGAAATGCGAGTCCTCTCCGGGGGCTGGGCAACGGGGGCTGGTTTGAGGTGGGGGTGGTCGGGGGCGGGGAGGGTCGGCTGTTGTTGTGTGGGTCCCGCTCTAGCACAAAGTTAAGGATGAAGGTGAAAAGGAGGAGGTTTGAAGGACTTGGGTTCTCCCTGGCAAGTACATTGATCAAAGATTGAGAGGGGAATGACAGAGAGAAAATGAGCTGAAAAGTGCAGGCTGCCGGCTGGACGAGTTGTTGTTGTCACACGGTGCAGAGGGGAGGAGCTCCGGAAACTTGAAATACCCTTTGAAGCCGCAAAAACCTCGCTCACTAGTATTAACCCAAATTATCCAACCAGGAACTCGGAGCAAAGACTCCGAGAGCGCGAGACACAGAAGGAGAGCAAGTGTGAGAGAAAGGCTGGAGGGGAGGGGGAGGATAAGGAAAGAAACTGTGGGAGGGACGGAGAGGAAAAGCCAGAGACACAGAATTAGCGATGGGAAAAAGAGAAACAGACCATCTACTTCTCTTCTACTACCGTTAGGTTGCATGTCTAATATTCCATTTTGTCCGCGACGACACGTATTTTTTTTTTTCCAAAAAGCTTCTAAGTAATCTGCCAGCATAAAGAGGAGCCAGAGCGCTCCGAGCTTTTTAAAAGATTTAGGATGTATCTCCGTGCGTTTTGCAATGAGTATAAATGAAAACACACCTCCTCACTTCATGATTGTTAAAAAATTAATTTGAGGAAAATTCACATGTAAGCAAAACGTATGTTTTATACATCTGCTTTATTTGTCTGTTAAAGTATTTACTTGATTAAAGATTGAACATTCAAGGTAGGATAGTTTGAAGTTGTCGGGGAAAAAGGACGAAAAATCTCTTAAGAATAATGAAATACTCTGTATTCAATTCCTTATTTCCTAATATTTGTGGAAAGAAACGCTTTCCATGATGTGACTGGGTCAGAATAACTTCACTTTCGCTCCAAAGGCAGGTCAGAAATGCCTGTTATATCACATTATACCTAGAGAATTCAAAGAAATCAGGCACCCTTGAAGATTTAGAAAGTAGGAAACAAGAATACACTGCTTTTTCTCGCCCCAAACTCTGTAATTAATTCACCTGTCTTGCATAGTAACAAGTATCCTTGAGTCCTTTAAGACCCAACGCTAGTCGACAGTGTTATTTGAATTATACAGTAGTTATGATTTATATATATATATATGTATATATATAAAAGTATCACTATATTTTGGGAAAGCTTTTTAGTTTATCAGTGAAAATGTGCTTTGTAAATAATGAGAACAAAAACAAAGCTAACTAGTTGACTTGTAAAGGCAGCTACATTTAAAAACAGTATCAGGCTGAGTTTAGACTGATTCTCTTCCCTTCTTCCTCTCTCATTTTCATCCCTTTCCTAACCTGTTGCATGGAGGTATTTATTCAAGGACTTCTGAACAACATGATTTGAGCATAGGTCAAATCAGTTCTCGGCTTTTATCTCTAGGAGTCTTAAATAATTAGGCTTCCAACTTGTCTACACATGTTCAGTGACTTCACAAGCTATGAAACAATGTTTTAGCACTTGACATATTTTTAAAATTAACTATTAGCAGTAAGTTCACAGAATTGGGAAATTTCACAATGAAATTTCTGCCATTTTGCTGTTAAATCATTATCATATTTCTCTTTATCATTTTAATTCTTTAAACTTTTTGAAATTCAGTGCCAACAGGCACAGGAAATATTTACAGAGAGATACCACACTCTTAACTAATTTGTCTAGGTTTATGCTAAACTATTTGGGGGCGTAACAGTTATATCAGTGGCTTTCCTGGGTTATAAGAATTCAGAAAATTGATTGTTTTGGGAAAGTAGCTAAACTTCAACAATGATAGGTAAAGTTTACACAATTGTTTGGCCTAGTTAATGTATTTTAACATATTTAGAAATAATTCATATTAATTTTCAGCCCTCATATATTTCCTCAATTAAAAGCCTTAATTCCATATGTAACACATCTCGCCAAAACGCTTTAAGCGTTTAGGTATATTTTGGAAACTACTGTCTTTTAAAAATAAATGTCAACTTACCAAGTTAATGTGGGGGTGGGGGGAAGGAAGAAGGAGAAACTAATTTTACATTGGAATGGCATGCACAACTATATTAAACTCCAGTATAGTTTAAAACGCTAAAGTTTTATTGCTTTTAATACTAAACCTACAAATAGAAAAAAAAAAAAGAGGGGGGAGTAAATGCTGAAAATCTGTCCTTACTATTCTCACATTTCCTTAAACTCTTACTCACCTAATACCTGCCACATTGGAAAGGCACAGACAGACATAGGAGGTAATGAATGCAGACCAAGCCATAATCCCACCCTACTTCGAAGCAAACTCCAATTTTTCCACTGCAGAGGAAACTGCGCCTCCCAGCATGTGCTCCACTCAGAAGCAGGATTTGGGGCATTTGCCCCTTCCAGTATGGGAGATTTCTGGGACCTCAGGTCTCTAAACCATTTCAGGGAACCACCACTCACTCCTTTAATCAAACAATAGGATTAGAAAATGTGTATAATGCAAATTAAAACATTTAGGGAAAAAAGTCTCAAGAATCTTCAAGGTTTCTTTTCCTTTCTTGTTTCTTTTTTGGGAAATGTTACCAATGATTAAGGCAAACAGTATTTAACAACAGCAGATAAATCAGCTCAAGAAAGATTTCAAATTTTTACTCTTCCCATTGCATCTTAAGCTTTCAGAGCTTTGTCTTGTTTGTTTATTGTTTCACATTTCTTCTTGTTTCGGGTCCTCTCCCTCCATCTCATCTTCCCCGATGTTCACTCAATTTGCATAAGCAAAACTCAAAGTACTGTAACTGATATTAGAAAATTCTCCGTGTTTTGTGAAGATGTATTGTGCTGAAATCAATAAGACTGTTTAAAATTCAAAGACCTGCAAATCGTTCTGTTTGTCCTTTGATAGGGCCTGTGCTGATTAAAATGCTACCAAGAAAGCTTAATTGCTGCACTAATTAAGAAGTCTTTAATTTCTT